AGCGCAGGTAGTCAGCAATGAACATCTGTTGGGTGAGAGCTGCCCGCAGGTTCTCCGTGGAGGAGAGCACCTCAGAGTGCGCGATCTCGAGGGCGGCACGTTGTTCATTCACGGTGAGGAACTGATCAGCCTTGAGGCAGTCCAGTCGGGGAATGGAATCACTGCAACTGGGGAACTTGGCCGACCAGAGTTGCATAAAGTTGGCGTGGAGATTCATTGTGAGTGCTGTGGTAGAACGAAAAATGAAAGGTCGTATAAAAGATTAGGCATTGTATCAGTCGTCGTCAAGCTTTACTGCAGAGTCCAACTTAAGTGCTTAAGAGGGGTCAGGTTACAATGACCAAAAATCGATGCCGTAGTGATTAAGAAAAGCGTTAGACAGGACTTGGGAGGAGCTAATTACCCGAAGAAGTCAACGGAGCTATCAGGGCACGAGGAGGCAAAGTACACGGCTGCAGAGCGGAAGCTCACTCACTCACTGACGTCAGTGGGGGTCACCCAACATCCCGAGGGACGTATTGAGCTCTATTATATCCCCCTCCTTTCATAGTACATACAGAAAAAATACATGAAGGTTGATAATGGTCATTCGTTATAAATGCTCCAAGCATGCTTCTTCCACATTAAGGTGTCTGGGGGATGAGTCTGAGAACAGAGACTGGCCTGATATTTGCTCGTCTCTAGAGTACGACAAATGTCCTGGCCTTTCCATCAAAATAAAACGGAATCCACATATTTGGACATTAGATCGACGCAAGCCGCCACAAGATGGCTTAGTCAGGCCAACTGACAGCCATCTAAGTCAGGACGTTTACATAGAAGGAAAAACTGAAATGAGAGCCAAAAGCGACTTCAGCCTCGTCTACTTTTGGATCGTGTACCTGTCTCTCGCTTACCACACGCCAATTTAGCAACTTTACTGGCTGCCCAATTTCAGACGCGTAACAGCGCACACGGAACCAGCTAAACTACTATAACCAATTAATTTATATCTAGCAGAGCACTATATAACCGTTGGCAGAACAGCTGTGCAG